ATTCTGATTCGGATTAATTATCATCGTCATCGACAACGACCACGACAACAACAACAATCGCCATCATACCACCACCGCCGCCGCCACCACCACCACTAACACCCCAACAACCCCAAGAACAAAGACAGAAGCAAGATCATAGACACTAACATCGTCCTCACGAAAGGGGTCCTAGCATCCTCATTTCAACCCTCTCTTAGATTTCTAAAGAGGATGTACCTCTTTCTGAGCTGTCTGTTTACAGTTGCGAGGGTCTTGGCACAACTACGACCTGGACTTCGGCATCTTAGCTATCGCTACAATCAGTATGCGATTTGCTAACCTACTGCCCGTACACTTTATGACACTGCCGGACAATTTCCAACCCAGAAGATTACATATCCGCAGCCACCGACCAGCGACGGTACGACGACGACTGCTAGTACTACACAAAACGGTTACCGCGCCACCACCAGCACCACCACCACCACCACGGCTGCTGCTGCTGCTGCTGCTGCTGCTACTACTACTACTACTACTACTACTACTGCTACTGCTCCTGCGGCTGCTTCTGCTGCTGCTTGCTTCTTCTGGAAAACACCTCGTAAGCGTACGCAGCCACGTCTTCAATACCGGGCTGCGACGAAACTGGTACGAGCAGCATAGGAAAACTCTTCTAAGCTCCCTTTTGGTGGTCTGGTGGGCTTGCGGGATAAAGATCTTTGGGTCAGGAAGGTTAGGGCCTTTGGAACTTTCACGCACGTCCATGCCAAACCGCCTGCTGTCGTACCAAAACTGTTGGTCCGCTCAGGTTGCGGGCAACGGAAGCTTGCGTGCCGCAGAGAGGGTTACACCTTCGGCCTCCTAATTTCCTGCCTCTCCAGCTTTGCGTATGCTCTTTCCAGCCATCGCGAAGAATCTAGCAATCCAACGACAGGCCCCGACCCAGGCTGAGCAACGCGAAGTTCTCATGTTTGTTTGAGTTGCACTATCTGCCTGGCCCTGAGGTCGAGGCTAGGCAGGGCCGCCTGCGACCTGCTGCTGGCCGTGGCCTGGCCCCGGAAATGATGGTGAGACTGCGGAGTTTGGTGATGTTGTTGATGATGGGGATTCTGCGGACAATGATGATGATGATGATGATGATGATTGGTGGTGGTGATGATGGTGCTGGTGATGGTGATGCTGATGCTGATGCTGATGATGATGATGACGATGATGGTAATGATGGTGATGATGAGGATGATTGGTGGTGGTGATGATGATGATGGTGATGGTGATTGTGATGGTGATGGTGATGCTGATGCTGATGCTGATGCTGATGATGGTGATGATGATGATGATGGTGATGATGACGATGATGATGATGATGATGTTAGTGATGATGATGATGATGATGAATAAGATTGTAAAGATGAGGAGCAATGACACAGACGAAGACGACTGCGGCGAGTGTGTTAATGATGCTGCTTGCAATGATGAGGGTCACAGGCATAAGATGTTCATTAAGAGCAATCAAACATCTTTGTCGTCTTTTCTTCATCCTTGTCCTCTTCGTCGAAAGCACCATCAACGTAATTATAGACATCACTACCACTATCGTGCGCATCAGCATGACCTGCAATACTATGATAATATCAGTAGCAGTGTCATCACCTATCATCACGACTCTCATCTGCTGTCCCTTCATAAGAAACAGAGCAACACAGTCGCAAGTATGTGCACACTGCGCATGATCACTACGTAGTCCATGGGTATGGATGTCAGCATAAAGCGACTGATGCCAAGTAATCGTCGCCTTTTCGACTTCCATAGCTGCCAACGTCATCACAATTGGAGTCACAACCGTCGTTACAGATGTGACAAAGGTTATCCCAATGACTAAACACTTGTGCGATGAAAACACTTTTGCCGACGTGGCAACCACTGCCTTGACCAACAACTTCTTTACTGCACATCTTGCTACTTCAATGATTTTCAACGCCAGTCTGTTCATTGCTGTTGCTAGCTTCACTGTCACCAACACTACCAGAAACCTTGCATCGGACAAACATTTCTGCCACTACCAGTAGATATCGTTGACGTTGTCATCAGCCTGTGACCGTGCAACTGTTGCTCCAAAAACTACTTGCACTATGACCACAACCAGAGATGTGAGTCTCGCTTCTTGTCGCGATGGCTATCGAGTCGTGTTGTTGTTGCTGCTTGTTTCTGGTTGTCCTTTCATTTTTCATCACCAAATGACTGCGATGGCCTGAGTGCCAACATCCTCACAACTGCTAAACTATGTACCTCTTGCAGCGTGAAGAAGTGTTGGCGCACAAAAGTATGGGGCACTCACAGGTGTCCTCAGAGCTACTCTCTGCAAAGGGCCAAACTTGAAAGAACAGCCCCACCCGGTCGGCGCGCGGGGCACTGCCACACGAGGCCCCGCTCGGGTGGCCTGGCCGAAGAAGGCTTAGGGTTTAGGGTTTAGGGTTTAGGGTTTAGGGTTTAGGGATCCCAGAACATCGCGGGTGGGGCCCTGGAGAAGTCGGAGACACTAAGGTTTCTCAGGTGGTCCAAGGCTAGGCAACAAAGACTTCGAGACACCCTCGAAACCACAGGAGACAGATGCGCAGCTGTGCCTCTGCCTCCTCCATCTGATGAAGCCCCCGACCTGTCAGAAAGCTTTCAAAACCAGGGTTTAGGATTTAGGGGTTTTAGGGGGTTTAGGGGCTTTTGAACCAGGGTTTAGGGTGCAGGGTTTGGGGGGCTTAGGGGCTTTTGGAACCATGAGCCCCAGAGGCCCCGAATCTCTTTGCTTATACCTTGGGGCAAAGATGGCCTCAGGTTCAGAGAAAAGCCAAATGGGGGCTTCCTAAAATAGGGGAACCCTAATATAGTACCCTAAATAATAGGATCCTTATTATAAGGACCCCAAAATAAGGTACCCCTAATTTTCGGAAACTCCCAAATCTCGTGAGGAGCTCTTTCTGTCGGAGCTTCGGACCACGGCCGAAGGCCTCCTCTTAGGGCCTTTTTCAGTAGGGTCTAAGGCCAGGCTTCAAGCCCGGGGTCTGGGATTCAAGGTCTTTGGTTCTTTAGGCCTGGGTAACAGATGCAGAGCTTGTGGTGTAAAGTTCGATGCAGTCAGGATGTAGATGCTGCAGTCTCGTAGAGGAAGTAAACTGAGCATGATGTACCTGCTCGGTAGGTGGAACGGTTCGACCATGGGTCTCGGCTATAGCGGCAGCGAATGAGGGTCACGAATCTTGGGACAGCAGTCAGAATCAAAATTCCAAATCAGCATCACATCAGAGACACATGGGAAAATGCTTAAGAAGCAGACGATTGTTCAGCCAACAGCAACGACTTTCAACGTATGTATATGATACCACAGACAATCAGCAGACGCCCGCCTTTGCGAGGAGTCACACGCGCGGGTGACTGCATCCAGTGGAACGTATTGATCCAACATGGCCAGCAGATCCCATGCAGCAACTTCGACCTTCAACAGTTCCTTCATGTCAAGACAGTCAGTGCAACAGGGTCATCGACAGGGTACACGGATCCGTGCATCAGCATCAGTGCTGCAACATGGCCAACTTGCTTCCATCACCCGGTCCAGCTGCATATTTCGCCGCATTTGGAACAATCTACAAGTGGCTGAGAATTAAAACCGATGGGAGCTGACTTGAGAGCGCAGCCTCTGCGGAAGTCGGGCTCAAAATGGAATCATGTAAGGTACACAGAGCTCAAGGAAAGCCGACGGGATCCTAGGTTGTGATGGCTTTCGCTACAACCCAAAACCCTAAGAGAGCCAAAAAACCTCAGGCCTTTTTATGTGGCACAACTTATCATCACTTTAGTGGAAGGAACGCGCAAGCTGCCTCTTTGCCATACGGGGCAGCTGGGCAGTGGCCAAGCAGGGAGGGTCTCCCTGGCCGGGCCTGGCCCTGTTAAAAGAGTTTGGCGCTCTCAGAGTTCACTTCACGTTCTGGCTGAGCCAGTCCAGCGTGACGGACTTCGGCCTGTCGGCAAGGCAAGACCAAGCACCAGACTTTGGACTCAATGCCGTCTCGAATCTCTGAGAATAGTCTGGCTCAGGGTTGAAACGGGCCAGGTAGAGGCTAGAGGTGCCAACTGCAGCATCTCAGAAACGACCAGACCATCGTTTCCTGCAACGATGACATATTCTCGCTGGAGGGCCTCTCGATAGGCAGCCCCATCAGTCGCGACCTCAGGTCAGCACAAGCGGGTCCTCGTCCCTCCTGAACAAAACTATCCACACCCAGTTGGGCAACAGAGCTCCTTCGCTCCAGAGTCCCACAACCGGAAGATCGCCGAGAGGCAAAGTTTCCCAATGGTGGACACAACCGCTGCAACTGCGCTGAACAATTAGACTGGAGAAACAATTTGTTTGGAGCCATCTGGAAATTAACGGTGCAGGATTTCCTTGCGACTGTGTGGCCCTTCAGAGCCCAGGTCTAGATGTGGGTCGGCGCGTTGACTCGTTTCTCAAAGAAAGAAGACTCAAACGGCCTGCAGGCTGCAACTGGAAGAGGCTCCGCAGGGCCCGGGCCACACGAGGTTGGAGGTGCAGCCGAGGGCTCTCGAGACGGCGAAGACCACCTTGGGAGTGCGAGTTTCTGCCTCCATATCTTCATGACAGAGTGAAGCCTTAAGCCACTGAGTTTGTTGACTGTCGAGTTGCACGGCTACTGTTCCGATCAGATCGGTCACATCAGGCCTACACTTCGCCGGGAAAAGACTAAGGGCCGAAGCCCAAGATTCGCGAAAGAAAGTAACGCACTAATCTCAGCCCTGCCAGACTGTGGGCGCTGCGGTGTAGTAGTCCTCCTGATTCAAGCCGTAGTACTGCCTGTGGCTTCGCTCCGTGCTCCCATCATCTCACTACGAGTACTAGAATTGTGCACAGATTGATTTGCAGCTGTGTTGCGTTCCAGGTGGGCACAACATGCTCATGAGACGAGGCACTATTACCAAGAGGGGTTTGCAGATCTGCTGACTCAGGCACTGGCATGCAGGTGCCCGACAAGGCATCCACGTTCGGCCACGGGTTCCTCAGCAGCGTCTCGACCCTTGCATACAGCTTGCGCAGAGCCCCGATAACGCTCAAGCTGTGTAACGCTGAAGCTGTGAAGCTCCTGTAAAGCCCAACTGCAAGGCCGAGCCGAAATTCCCCGGACACGTTTGATCCGAGGCTCTTCACCTTGCCTGTCGCCTCCAGCACTGGAGGAATCGCCTGAGGACCAGCTCTTCAGCTTTCGGACACTGCTTCGTGATTCAGCACATAGAGTGAAGCCGCTTCGCTCTTGGGCTTGGGGGAATGGGCCGTTCATCTTCAGCACATGCGCCCGTGCCCCTACGGAATCCACTGCCCTCCGTGGCCTGGAAGCAAACCTCTGCCAGCTTTGCCAGGGGATCATCTGGGAAGTTCTCCTGCCGCTACTTGGAGGTTCATGGGACTTAGTAAGTAAGGTTATAACTACTGTAATTGGGGTTATAATTACTTATAAGTATGGTTCCCTTATTTATAACCCTGGTTACTAAGTCCCATGATCCTCCAAGTATGGAAAGTGACATGGGACTTTCCGAAAATTAGGGTACCTTATTTTGGGGTCCTTATAATAAGGAACCGATTATATAGGGTACTATATTAGGGTACCCTATTTTTGGAAACCCCCACATTGACTTCCTCTGCGCCGTTCCCCGAAGCCGTCTCTAAGAGCCAAGGCCCAAGTGTGCACGGCGCACCCAGAGCCTCCAAAACGCCTTAATTAAGGAATATACCTTAAATCATATCAGGGATCCTATTATAGTTTAAGGTATATTCCTTAATTAAGGGATATTGGAGTCTCTGGGCAAATCTGGGACCGACCCTGTCCCCATGCCGAACCTGCACGAACTGGCGCTGGATCGTGTACCGCCTCAGGCTTTCAACAGCCCACAGCCGAATATTACATTATAGTATAGATTTTTGCATACTATATTTGGTATTATTTGATATAGTAATATACTATATTACAAGATTTTGCTGTAGATTAGCATTGGGGTCGTCGTGTGACAGTTCACCTCGACTCCCCACTCTCCGGATCCCCACGGCTAGGACCTGCCGGGCTCTACTAAGACCAAGCAGTACTCTTAGATACTCTTAGGCATAAAAATAGAACCGAATAGATTAGAGTAGAGCAGAACAGAACAGAATAGAATTAGAATCAGAATAGAACAGAACAGAACAGAATAGAATAGAATAGAATAGAATAGAATAGAATAGAATAGAATAGAATAGAATAGAATAGAATAGAATAGACTAGAATATAGTATATTATATATGTAAAAATATATATATATATACACACACAAA